GGGGAATGAGAACTTCAAGATGGTGATGGTGGAGTCGAAAAACTCCACCGGAGTTGGCCGGAATCGGCCTTGGAAAATGAGAACTTGTGGTGGGTGTGGGTGGACTAGAAAGCTACTTCCCTTCTTTTTTTTTTTTTTTTCTTTTCTTTTCTTTCTTTCCTCATTTCTGATTTGGCTTCACCCCACAAAGTGGGGATTTAATTTAATTAACACTAAACCTTGAATAACCAATTTCGAACGTCCGTAACTATACCGTTATAATCCAGACTCGCAAACGGCTTTCGCCTATACGTTCGTACCAACGAGTACTATGAGGATATGCTAAAAGAATAAGTCCCACATCTCTCAAGTCGATGGTCAACGAAAGTCAAAGTCCTTGCCTCTAGGGCAATTTCGTAAATTCACGCTTTTAAAATAAAATAAAAACGTAAAATTGGAACGGGTTGTCACACCAAAGGTCTTAAAATATTTTCCTAAAATCCGACACAAAATATTTCATAAAGCTAAAAATTTCAATTTTTTTTTTTTTTCACAAAAAGTGTGAGTTATAACCCACAATTTTTTAATTGATTTTGAGAACTTTTACAGCATTTGTTATAAACTAAAGTTAGAGTCATCATACTCGCACCACATGTTTCTTAAAATTAATTCAGGACATTCCTAAGATTTCAAACACCTACAAATCTTTTTGGAGGGCCCACTATTAGTTTTCATTATTTTTTCTATCTTCAATTTTAAAAGTCAATGGAAAATAGTTTCCGGACCTAATAAAGGATATAATCATATACAAAAGTCTTGTAATATTTTCATTAATTCTCGCACAAAATATTTCCTAAAACTAAAAATTTCAATTTTTTTTTCACTAAAACTGAGTTGTAACCCATGTTTTCCAATCAATTTTGAGAACTTTTTCTATTTTCAAACTTGAAATCTCAATAAAAAAAATAGTTCTAGGACCTAATAAATTGTAGGATCAAGTCCAAAGGTTTTGCAATATTTTCCTTAAATCCGACGCAAAATATTTCATAAAGCTAAAAATTTCAATTGTTTTTCACAAAAACTGTGAGTCACCTACGATTTTCTAATTGATTTTGAGAACTCTCACAATATTTGTTATAAACTAAAGTTAGAGTCATCATACTCGCACCACATGTTTCTTAAAATTAATTCAGGACATTCCTAAGATTCCAGACACCTACAAATCTTTTTTTGTTGGGGGGGGGGGGGTGGGGGGGGCCACTATTTCATTATTTTTTCTATCTTCAACTTTAAAAGTCATTGGAAAATAGTTTTCGGACCTAATAAAGGATACAATCACATACAAAGGTCTTGCAATATTTTCGTTAATTCTCGCTCAAAATATTTCCAAAAACTAAAAATTTCAATTTTTTTTTTCACAAAAATTGAGTTATAACCCATGTTTTCCAATCAATTTTGAGAACTTTTCCAAGATACATTATAAGCCAAATTTGAGTCAAGTCGCACCACATGTTTTTTAAAATTAATGTAGGACATTCCAAAGATTTTCAACACCTACAAATCTCTTTCGGGGCCTTGCCATTGGTTTATATTATTTTTTTATTTTTCAACTTTAAAAATCAATAAAAAAATAGTTATGGGACCTAGTAAACGTTAAGATTACATCTGCAACATTTTCCTTAACTCCTAAGCAAAATATTTCCTTAAAGTCCTGCTTGGTGGGTGTAAAAAGATGTGATCTCTGCGCAAGCAAAACGAGGTGGGCTCAACACAAACAAAACGAGGCAGACTTCGGACATGCAGAACAAGGTGAATCCGAGCACACATAAAATGCGATGGGCTCCGTACATGCAAAACGAGGCGGGCTTCGTACATGCAAAACGAGGCGGGCTCTACTAACAGAAAATGAGGCAGACTTTGCTCGCGAAAAATCAGACGGGCTTTAGTCACATCAAACAAGATGGTCTCGGCGCACAAAAAACAAAGCGCACTCCGCACGAGCAAATCGAAATGGGCTTCCGCGCAGGCAAAACAAGTGGCTTATAAATTGTGGTGACTCCTGCTTATCACTTGTGGATGATCCCCCAAATGTTGTTATCTCATGCGTCTTTAGTGGGTGGCAGGATTTCACTCGCATCTTTTTCTCATTTCTAAGGTTTCCAAAGGTCACCGAGATGTGGTGAAGTGATCTTGTCTCTTCAAGAGTAGCCTAAAGGTTAATGTGGATTGGGCGTGGAATAGGAAGCAAAAACATGGGGTTTGGAGTTATTATTCGTGACAATTTGGAGGAATCTATAGTTGCTTTTGTTGGTTCCTTCGAGAATTATTTCTTCCCGTTGTATGTGGAGTTCGTTGCAGTTAGAGAGGGATTGGTTTTGGTGGCCAAGGGAGGGATTTACCAAATTTCATCCTTGAGAGCAAAACGCTCCAGATTGTGTCAGTCTTGATGAAGTCTTCTCTCAACAGTCAACATGTCTTTGATTGGACCTGTTGTGGAAGACGTCAAATCGTTGATGACCACCATCACTGGAGTTCATCTTTCTCATGTGCGCCACCTTGCCAACAGTGTCGCCTAGATCTCTATGGTTTTCATAATGAGCTTTGTTGTTGGTTTGAGGATTCTCCGAACCTTATAACTGACTTACTAGTTGAGGATTGTTGTTAGTTTCTGCTAGTTTGTTGTTAGTTGTTTGCAGCTTTGTTGTGTCTTTGCAATGTGAACCTTTTAACACTATCAATAAATCTTATCATAGCATTTTAAAAAGCGGGAGAGAATCTCGAGAAGTTTAATGAAACTAACTTCAAGCAAGAGATACACAAATAAGATAACTTTTACTTACACGCTTGTTAGTTCCCTCTTGATACTGTTAGGTGTTCGGCTCTTATTGGCTTATAGCTCATTTGGATATTGATTAGAGGATCAGTTAATGGATTGTCTTCCTTCCCTCAGTGTTTGTTATGATGTATGTTAATGAACAAAATTGGGTTGACTTTGGAACAACATAAAATGTTGAGATGTGATCTTCACAAGGTTGCTTCAGTCACTAAGTGAAGTATGCAAAAAAAAATAGAGATAGAGAAACTAACACAAGAAGTATGTTGTTCACCATAAGTTGGGCTACATCCACGAAGGTAGAGTAGTTCTAAAAAATAATGTAGAGTTTACATGTACAAAGGTTGAATCATAATCATGATTAGTGAGTTCTAATAATGGATTAGAGAATCTAAGACCATAAGAAGGTTAATTGTGGGAGAAGGATTTTTTTTTTTTTTTATAGTTGAGGAGAGTTCCCTGTTTTCGTTTGCCGGTCAATATGGGGCTCTAGAAGCTTTATTTTGGTATTGACCCGTGCGCATTGTGATTGGTCCCCTAGTTGGAGTGAAACTCATGTGTTTCGACAATGCCTTAGCACAAATTTTTCAGTGTGTTTTTTAAGGTATAAAGTTGACTAGTGCTTAGTAGTTTTGGGGCTGGTGAAGTACATGTGCTACAAACACATTACATCCTGAATACTTTTATTTGAATCAAAGTTTGGACTTTTAATAAAGAAAAACATAACCAAGTACGTAGTCTATTCATTGACTTGCAAAAAGAAGACCCATATTTGTCCACATTATATAATCATTAACTGTTTCTTTTTTCGGTTACTAAAAGAGCTACATATCCATGCACGTAATACCACAGTCAACTGTTTTTTTTTCTTTTTTTTGGTTACTAAAATAACTTATATATATCCATGCACGTATTTTCCCTGTTAACTTTGTCTTTCTTTGATTACTAAATGAACATGGATATCCATGCACATAGTCGCACTCTTAACCTTTTTTTTTTTTTCTTTTTGTGTTGTAACAAAAAAAATGGAAAAATTATGCATCAATTGAATATATTTATTCTCATCAATAATCCAATCACAAGCTACCTGAAAATTGCTGGAGCAATATTAGAAAATATGAAAATAACACAAGAAGTCTAATGATAATAATCATAAAGAAAATCACAACATCAATTATGTATTCGATTAATATAAATAACTAGATAGAAAGTCAGAAACACTAACAAACTTGGAGATTGAGGCTTGCATAAATGCAATGTCCTAAAGACAGAATTTCGCCCCTACTCTTGTGTTTGTAGTTTGGGTAGGAGTCTATCTCTCAAGATTCAACAATCTATAATCCGAAGTCGAAGCACTTTAATTTTCGAACTCTGACGAACTTTGTATATTCTGAACTCTTAAGAAACGACTCAGAAGATATTTAATAATGAGAGAGAAAATAAAGTCTTGGGGATAAAACTATTTTGCCAACAAGTAAAGGCTATGAACTTATATAGAACTCAAAGCCTTGTTTTATGAAGAGATGTAACTCAATATCTCAACAACAAAACATATAGAGCCTTTGCAAAAGGCACGGCAACTCTTAATAAAACTATGTATCATTTGAATGAAGCCTTTCACTCAAATTTCAACAGTAACTACCTATTAGCACACTCATTTAGACAAGTGATATTTTATTTTTATTCAATTATTGAAATTATAATATTATATAAATATATAATTTCCAAAGAAATTTCGTTTTTTAATGGGAATGTAGCTCTTCTAGATATGCACATGGGAACAACGCGATCTTCACAACCCAAGCTAATTTGTATTTTGGAAGAGACCATTATGATGACTGTAAATATAACAACAATGTGTAGGTTTACAATTAAATTTAGCACAATAATCTAGATATCCTCTTTCTTTCCTCTTTTTTGTCGGTTTTTTTTTTTTTCAATTTAACAAACAAAATAAGCCAAATACACATTTTCTTCTTTCAAAACGCAATGTTTGAATTTTGTATTTTTACGTGTTGAAATAAACAAAAAAGTATGTAATCAAAAAAAAAAAAAGAAAAGAAAAAAGGAAATAACAAAGAGACGCTCACACTCGTCGGACAGAGAGTGGAGCAATATCTGGAGTGAGATAAGATCAAAATTCCTACCACCTAACCCTAGTGTCATTCTGGAATCATCTACTGCCCCTATAAATTGAATGAAGAGGGCAGTGTGTGTGTCATGTGTGTGGACAAACAAACACGAGTTATAACATATAGCAGTTACGTACGGCGTGTTTGGGTTAGAGAACATCTTTGATGAGTTGGAGATTAGCCATGGCTGCCGAAGCCCAAGGCGACGATGAAAACGATGATCCCCATGATGTAGAGAGCCTGATGATGGTTCTTAAATCGATCGCATCCATGATTTACCAGAACTATTTTTCAGAGGTAATTTTTCCAAAACCTAAACAGCCCTTATATTTTTTAGGGTTTCATTCATTTACATTAGTTTATTGTTGTTTCTGATTTTTTCATCACTAGATCTGAATCAGCTGTTCATCTAACCAACTAACATTTTAACATTTTAACAAAATATAACTGAAAGTTGGTAATTGTTCTGGATCGATGCATATTTGTATTTTGATCAAACCTGCAGGTTCATGCCGATTCTGAAGGGAACACACAAACTACAATCGAGGCATCGATATCCTCGATTTAAGGCCAAGGGATGTGTTGCCTTTCAAGAGTGACTTCGGACCAAGAAATGTAAGCTGTGATTCTTAATGTCTTTGTTTTTGTTCGTTTCAATTTTTTATGTCAAAGGAGAATTGCACGACTTGGAATTTCTTTTGCAAAACAGGCTCCTCACCTGACCCTGGTTTAGCACTTTCGATAGCATACCCCAATCTGGTATGATGGCGTTTCTTACCCCAATCTGGTATGATGGCGTTTCTGGCAACAGTGATGTGAGATTGACGATTTGAATGTGAAGGATGATCATCATGTGTATCGGAAATATATATATATATATTAGACGTAGAAAATATGATAGTTTGATCCGAGCTCATATTTTGTTGTAAAGGGATGGGTCATATCTTGTCTAGATATGGGGAATTTGATGAGTACTCCATGCATTTTGTAAAAAGGAAGTGTATAATATACAAGAAGTCATGACTTCATGACTTGTTTATGTTTATTTATGGTCTTCAATTCTTTTATGCATTCCGTCCAATTAGTTAGACATAAATTGTAAAACCTTCTGAATTATTTATATAAAATCCTCTAAATTATAACCAAGGTGAACCTGTGAAAATTGTTTACAAAGAATATGATGAATGAGCAGATGTTGTAGAAGAAAAGATGACATGTAATAAATGTGGATTGTTTCGTAGTATTCTTCGTCAACCCACTGCATTTCTAGTTCAAAAAAATTTCTTTGGTTTAATACGATGGTGGTGGTGAATTCACTCCAACAACTTTATACATCTAGAAGCACCATTCATCATATTAATATACCCACTATCTTAACTGAAAGAAAGCATAGAAGCTCAGAAGCTTCTAAGTGATGTTCAGAAGCACCCACCTCCGTGGTCATTCCAAAACCTGAGCAAGAACCAATGGCGGCCGTGTCCACCATCCACTACCGTCTTTGTTTTTATTTTCGAATTTAAAGTGTATTCCATTTTGAAACTTTATAGATACATAGAAATTATCATTTATTTTACCCACTATCTTAAGATAAATATTTTATAGTAATTATTTATTTGATTTTTAAGAGTTTTAAATTTCTTTAGTTTCTTAAAAGAAATTACTTATTTACAAGTGGCATTTTACTACAGTGGTGGAAAAGTGTTGAGTCATTGCATAACTGCGTGGGTTCGTCAGTGGCTAATCTAACATCTAATTTAACAAAATATATTGTTTGATAAAAAAAAATTACTTTAAAAAATAAAAAGAGTTTGGGAAGAAATTGGATATTTTGGGTTTGTTGTGCTAAATTGAAAAAATAAAGGACAAAACGAAAAGGACCTTAGATATTTATGGTCAACTTTTTGTAGAAAAAAAAAAATAGAAGCGTGGAGGACAGGCACGTGCGCGTGGAGGTGAGGGCAGGCTGGGCGGTTAGGTCGGGGTCGAGACCAAAGGTCTTGAGTGATAAGAGTTCATTGTGTGATTTTATGATAGTTTATTTTCATTAAATTTATTCTAATTATAAGGAGGAAGGTTTGAACGTAAAATATAGTGAGTTGAAAAAAAATGTGTTATAACTAGAGTAAATCTACCACTCTCATTATCCTAAATTTAAATGATACCAATGGGTGTTTGTAACATTTTTCTCTATTTTTTTTATATGCCAAAAAAACGGTGCGGCTACATGCATGAGTATGTCATGCATGTTCTTTAGTAAGTCCATGAAGAAAAAATTAATGGAGAAACTATGTGCATGGGTATGTGCATTTTTTTGCAAGTTAACAAAGAAAAAATTATCGGTAAGATAATGTGCATGACTATGTACGTTTTTTTTGTAAGTTAACAAAGGAAAAGTCAACAATTAGATTATGTGCATGGATCTGTGCCTTTTCTTAACAAGTTAATGAAAAACAGGAAGTGCATAGTAAATTGAGTTTTTGTTTATGAAAAACAACTAATAAGTAATAACCAACAATCCTCGAATCAATATCCAAATAACCTACAAGCTAAACCAATAAGAAGGCAACCCTGTGCTTCTCTAGCAATAATCTCAAAATGGAGCTGGTAAGCGTGTAAGCAAAAGTTACCTTATCTTTCTTTTTCTTGCTTTGAAGTTAGTTTCATTGAACTTCTGTCGGAATTCTCTCCATTTGAGAAATTAGCAGTGACCAGTACAAGTTATAAATTACTCTATTTTTCTAGTCATTACTAGTAAAATCATTCAGTTTTGATACAATAATAAAGAGAGAAAACGAATAGCTTTGTACTTTTATGTATCGGAGCTATTGAATAAAAATCCCAAAAAAAAAAAATATGTAACCAACTAAAAATGAAAATTAAAAAGAAAAACAAGACAGAAACGCACACTCTAGTGAAACAAGATAAGATCAAAATTCCTACCACCTAACCCTATCGCCCTTCTGGAATCATCTACTGGTGCTATAAATTGAGAAGATGCCGTCGTGTGTCATGCATCTGTGGAAAATGAAACAAACACGAGATATAGCATAAAGCAAATAGCCCTATCGCCGGGTTTGGTAGAGTTGTCTGGCGTGGCTGCTGAAGCCCAAAGGGGAGATGAAGACGTAGACGATGATCACGATGATGAAGGGCCTGATGATGGCTCTCAACACTCGATCGCATCAATGATTTACCAGAATTATTTGCCAGATATGATTTTCCTAAGCCTAATCAAACAGGCTGAACAGCCCGTATCTCTTTACGGTTTCATTCATTTCCGTTAGTTTATATTGTTTTTCTGATGTTTTGGTTACTGGATCTGAATCATCCGGTCACGTAATTTAATATTTTAATATTTTTACAAATTTATAACGGAAAATTGGATTTTTGCATGGATCGAATTGATATATGTATATTTTTTGGTTGTGGGTTATTTGAGATTCTATCTTTTTTATATATATATGTTTTTATTAGATGTTTCATATTTTTTGTAGACTTAATATTGTTATAGGAGGGGGAGAGAGAGAGAGAGAGAGAGTGAGAGAGAGAGAGAGAGACGTTAATCACTTGGTTATGATGTCTGTTTTTTTTTGGACTTGGTAAAAGATGATTATGTTAGCATTCGTTTCTGTGTTCAGGTCAGTCATTTGAGAAATAATACGGTGCTAATGCGGTTTTTGTTTCTTTTGATCAAACCAGGTTCATGCCGATTCCGAAGCGGAGGGAGCGTAGAACATATAAACCGAGGCATTGTCATATCCGTCGGATATGACATCCTCGATTAATCAAGCCCAAGAAATGAAATTAATGATGAGATTACGTGCGTGAATATATACGTTTTTTTTGTAAGTAAAAGAAAAATAGTTAATGGTGAGATTACGTACATGAATATGTACGTTCTTTTTATGTTAAAAGAAACCAGTTAACGGTGAGATTACGTGAATGGATATGTATGTACAAATTAATGGTGAGATTACGTGCATGGATATCTTTTTGTAAGTTGAAAGAAAAAAGTTCAGTGAGATTACATGGATATGTATGTACACTCTTTTTATAAGTTATGAAATGAAAAGTATTGTGAGATTGCATACATGGATATGTACATCATATTAAAAAGTTAAGGAAGTAAGCGCATAGTAAGTTACGTTTTTGTTTATAAAAACAGTAATGTTAGGTAAACCGACTTTTAGAGTACATTTGCAATCATGTAATCTATTACTAATAGAAATTAAGCACGTTAATCAATACTTTAATAATAATTCAATCATCAATAAGCACGGTTTACAAAATATGATTTGATTAAATAGATATATCTCCTAACATTATCTTATACAAAAATAACTAAACCTATAATCCATTAATTAATATCCAGATAACCTACAAGGCTAATCCAATAAGGCAACCTAGTGGTTCTCTAGCAATAATCCTAAAATGGAGTTGGCAAGCGTGTTTTAGACTATAGTAATATAACCAAGAGAAGCTGTGAAATAAAATACATAGAATTAAGATAGCGAAAGTACACAAGTCTTAGAGAAAGGATAGAAAACACTGAATATGAAAGAAGCAAAGAAGATATAATATTCAAGTCATGTTTTTTTTTTAAATTAATTTAAATTTATGTTAAAAAATTTACACTCGTGCATAAGCTAATGGCTGTTCACGTAAAATCAAAATAAATAAAAAAATAAAAAAACAGAAGAAGGTGTTTTTGTTGGTGGAATATTTTCTAAATTATAATGAGTGCTTCTATTTAAATTTGTATTCCAACTAAGTTGATTCCTTCATTAAATTAATAGTATTTAAAGTTTTTGGTAGTTTAAAAACACAATAAAGTTATTGGTAGTTATCTGACCCTAGTTCATTTATTCGAGTCTAAATTTTCTGCACTCAAAACGTTCTATTGCTTCTTTTTGACCTAATTGTTGAAAAGTCTCCAACTTCTGTTGGCAATGAATGCCCACAAAGCTAGTCATCTGCATGGGCAAAGTTTTCAATGCCCATACTGAATGAAAGTGTCAGAGTTACATTTTAATTTTCAAGATGCATTAACTGCATCAGTTCGAATTGCTCTATAAATAGAGCACTCGCATGTAACAGATGATAGATGAAGAAGAAATACAAGAGAGAAATATCAATAACATCATATTTTCCTCTGCCTTTTATTATCTGTCTGTGCTATAGTTTTTGTGTGGCATTTTACATCTACCTTGCACCTACCACTTAAAAGGTTATCTCTCAAACTTTAACCCTTTTATAACACGTTATCAGCACGAGTCTCTAAATATATTTATTCTCTCATCTCTCTTCGCCGAACGAACGAAAGAAAAAAAAAAAAAATGTTTCCTTTAAGGTTTTTACTGTTCATCTTCTTCCTCTGCCTCAACTGCGCCGTGTACCCTCGCGACGAGTTGTTTGCTCCATGCCTGCTCATAGTTCTCCAACTAACGGTTACATACATTTTTGATTACTTGTTTGGTGTAGAGATTGATTACTAACCTAGTATTTATTTGTGTTAATTCTACTGCAATCCAAGATGGTGCGGTACAATCGCCCATCTTGAACTGCAAATCTAATCTTACTGCGATCCAAGACGGTGCGGTATCATCGCCTATCTTGGACTGCAGATTTAATTTTATTGCAATTTTTAGGTGGAGCGGTATAATCGCACACCCTACCCTGCATATTCGAATTTACCTGCTGTTTAATTTCATTGCAATTTTATGTGGTGCGGTATAATCGCCTACGCTGCTCTGCATATTTAATTTTCCTGTTACTTGAGTGGTGCGGAATAATCGCCCATTCTATATTACATTATTTCAATGAGAATGGTGCGGTACGATCGCCCTCCTCATTCACCCTGAAAATCTCGAGCCAGAAGTTTCGAGTGCTTATCATTTTGGCCTGAAGATCAAAATGAAAAATTTGTAAGAACCAGAAGTTCTAACATCATATTCCTTCAGGAATACATATTATTGCAAGTTCTTACACATCTCATTTTCTTTCAGAAAAGAAAATGGCGAACTTGGCGAAACTTGAATTTGCTGCCCTGGATATTACCGGGAAGAATTATCTGACCTGGGTACTGGATACCAAGATCCATCTGGAAGCAGGGAATCTTGGAGATACCATCAGGGAAGAGAGCAACTCATCCTCTCAAGATCGGGCAAAGGCCATGATTTTCATTCGCCGCCATCTTGATGAGGCGCTAAAGAGCGAGTACTTAACGGTTGAAGATCCGTTAGCTCTCTGGAATGCCTTGAGAAGCAGATACAATCACCAGACAACGGTGATTCTTCCAAGGGCCCGCTATGAGTGGACTCATCTAAGGATTCAAGACTTCAAGTCAGTGGCAGAATACAATTCTGCATTGTTCAGAATTACCTCTCAGATGAAGCTCTGTGGGGATATTATTACTGAGGAGCATATGCTGGAAAAGACTCTCAGCACATTTCATGCCTCCAACGTGCTCCTGCAGCAGCAGTATAGAGCGCGAGGCTACACTGAGTACAACCAGCTGATATCTGTGCTCTTAGTAGCTGAACAGAATGATGAGCTCCTGATGAAAAACCATCATTCCCGACCTACTGGATCTGCACCATTCCCAGAAGTGAATGCTGCTTCCCTCGGAGTGAACACCACATCCTCTGGTGGTGATAATCATAAACGAGGACGTGGTCACAAGCGAGGTCGATGGAATAGGAAAGGCAAGAACCATGGAGTTCAGTTTCATAACCAGGTTCCCAGGAATAATTCAGGCCCGAGCTTCAAAAATGTGAATCGCCACAAAGGCAAAGCTCATATGAACAATGCTCCTAGAAACTCTGAAGGAGCCTGCCATAGGTGTGGTGGCAATGGGCATTGGGCGCGTACTTGTCGTACCCCAAAACATCTAGTGGATCTGTATCAAGCCTCCCTCAAGGAGAAGGGTGTCGAGACTAACTTTCTCGACGAGGCTAGACCAATGGATATACCTGATCCAGTGTTTGACTTATCAGGGCAGTTGAACACAACTCATCTAGATGTTTCAGACTATATTGTAGAAAGGGGAAATGAAGTATATCGGTCCGATTGAATCATTAATGTACTTTTATTATGAACTTGTAGTATTCTCAGATTCAATAAAAGTGGCATGTAAATTTTCTTGTTATAACTTGCTTTTAATTCTGATTCTCTTACTCAGAGAGCATGGATAAAAACTGTGGTTATTCTCAGAACATGAGAAATGGTAGAGATATTTGTCTTGCAGACAGTGCAACCACACATACAATACTTCGTGATCGAAAGTATTTCTCAAGCTTAATACCTACAAGAGTAGGGGTAACAACAATATCAGGACCTTCAGATGTAATTCAAGGTTCAGGGCAAGCCCAGATTATGTTACCAAATGGAACAATATTGTCCATACATAATGCATTGTATGCTACTCGATCTACTCGAAATTTGTTGAGTTTCAAAGACATACGTCTAAATGGATACCACATTGAAACAAAAAGTGAAGAAAATGTGGAGTATCTATGCATTACCTCCAATGATACCCAGAAGCGTATATTGGAGAAGTTGCGTGGTATGTCGAGTGGATTATATTATACATACATAAGGACAATTGAATCACATACTGTCATGAACCAGAAGTTCATTGATTCAAAGGTTTACATGCTTTGGCATGACCGTCTGGGTCATCCAAGATCTACCATGATGCGTAGGATCATTACCAACTCTAATGGACATCCATTAGTGAGCAGACACATTGCTGCCTCAAATGATAACCCTTGCAAAGCTTGTTCTCAAGGGAAGTTGGTAATTAGACCATCACAACTAAAGGTTGATGCTGAATCCCTATCATTTCTGCAAAGAATTCAAGGGGATATTTGTGGGCCTATTCAACCATCATGTGGACCATTTCGATATTTTATGGTTTTGGTTGATGCATCTACCCGATGGTCACATGTTTGTCTCTTGTCTACTCGGAATGTAGCCTTTGCGAGACTTCTTGCTCAAATAATTAAGTTACGAGCACAGTTCCCAGATTATCCTATTAAGTCAATCCGACTTGATAATGCTGGTGAATTTACGTCTCAAACCTTTGATGATTATTGCATGACATTGGGCATTGATGTTGAACACCCTGTTCCTCATGTCCATACTCAAAATGGTTTAGCAGAAGCATTGATTAAGCGGGTTCAGTTAATAGCTCGCACTCTGCTCATGAAAACCAAATTGCCAGTCTCTGCATGGGGACATGCCATCCTACATGCTGCATCATTGGTTCGATTGAGACCTATAGCCAACCATCAATACTCTTCAGTACAACTCGTGTTTGGACATCAGCCCAACATTTCCCATTTACGAGTTTTTGGTTGTGCTGTTTATGTGCCTATTGCACCGCTGCAACGCACTAAAATGGGACCTCAGCGTAGACTGGGAATTTACGTGGGTTTTGATTCACCATCTATCATTAGATATTTGGAACCCTTGACAGGTGATATGTTTACAGCTCGTTTTGCTGATTGTCATTTTGATGAGACAATTTTCCCGTTGTTAGGGGGAGAAAAGACCGTTCCAGAAGAACGGAAAGAGCTGACATGGGTTGTTCCCACCTTGTCTCATTTTGATCCTCGCAACATTCAATGTGAAAATGAAGTGAGAAGGATCGTTCATCTTCAAAGCATTGCCAATCAAATGCCAGATGCATTTAATGATGCTATGAAAGTGACAAAATCAAATATACCAGCTGCAAATGCACCTGCAAGAATTGATGTCCCTGTTGGACAAAATAAAGTGGCAGCAAATGATTCATCTGGTGCACGCCTGAAGCGTGGTAGACCCCCAGGTTCAAAAGATTCAGCTCCTCGAAAGAGAAAGTCGAGGGCACAACTGAATCCAAATGAAATCATTCAGGAAGAGAAAATGAATGATACATCCACAATTCATAATTCTGGACTTCCAGAAAAAGAAAATGTCCTTGATGAGACATCTGTCCCTGAAGAGACAGAAGTACATGAAAGCAAAGAAATCTCCATAAATTATGCATGTACAAATGAATTGTGGGATCGGAATGAAATAATCATTGATGATATGTTTGCATTTGCAGTAGCCACTGAAATCATCTTAAGTGATGATATTGAGTCCCGCTCTGTTGATGAATGCAAACAGAGACAGGATTGGCCTAAGTGGAAAGATGCAATCCAGGCAGAATTAAATTCCTTGAAAAAGCGGAATGTTTTTGGACCAGTAGTCCAAACCCCGCCTAGCGTAAACCCCGTGGGTTACAAATGGGTATTCACAAGGAAACGTAATGAGAAAAACGAGATCGCAAGATACAAAGCACGACTCGTTGCACAAGGTTTTTCTCAAAGACCTGGAATTGATTATGAGGAGACATACTCTCCTATAATGGACGCAATTACGTTCCGTTACTTAATAAGTTTAGTGGTTTCAGAAAGACTTGACATGCGACTTATGGATGTCATCACTGCGTATCTATATGGAGAATTAGATACTGACATCTATATGAAAGTCCCAGAAGGACTTAAGTTGCCTGAAACAAGTAATAAACCACGAGGTATGCTCTCGATCAAATTAAGGCGATCATTGTATGGTCTGAAGCAATCTGGACGAATGTGGTATAATCGTCTCAGTGAGTATTTGATCAAAGAAGGGTATATCAACAATGTTATTTGCCCTTGTGTGTTCATTAAGAAATCCAATTCTGGATTCGCTATAGTGGCAGTATATGTTGATGATATGAATCTAGTTGGGACTCCTGAAGAGCTCAATAAAACTGCTGAATATCTGAAAAGCGAATTTGAAATGAAAGACCTTGGAAAAACAAAATATTGTCTCGGCCTGCAGATCGAGCATTGTGCTAGTGGAATTTTGGTTCACCAATCAGCTTACATTGAAAAAATCTTGAAGCGATTTGGTATGAACAAGGCTTATCCACTAAGCACGCCAATGGTCGTTCGTTCTTTGGACATTAAGAAAGATCCATTTCGTCCAAAAGAAGATGATGAGCTGGTCCTTGGTCCAGAAGTACCATTTTTGAGTGCAGTAGGTGCTTTGTTGTATTTAGCACAATGTACTAGACCAGATATAGCTTTTTCAGTTAATTTGTTAGCAAGGTATAGCTCTGCTCCAACAATTCGCCATTGGAAGGGTATCAAAGATGTATTGCGATACCTTCGTGGGACAACAGACATGGGTCTCTTCTACTCAAAGAACTCCACAGATGACCAGGTCCTTGTTGGATATGCAGATGCTGGCTTCCTCTCTAATCCGCATAAAGCACGCTCACAAATTGGATATGTGTTTAAGAATGGAGATACAGCAATCTCATGGCGCTCAACCAAGCAAACATTAGTTGCTACATCTTCAAATCATTCAGAAATACTTGCTTTACATGAAGCAAGTCGTGAATGTTCTTGGTTAAGATCAATGATCCATCATATCCGGAATTCATGTGGTCTAACTTCGAAGACAGACAATCCAACTGTCATCCATGAAGATAATGCAGCTTGTGTTGCCCAAATGAAGGAAGGATTCATCAAGGGCGATAAGACTAAACACATATCTCCAAAGTTTTTCAGTGCTCATGAGCTTCAGAAGGCTAAAGTTATTGAAGTCAGACAAATCCGTTCAAATGAAAATCTGGCAGACTTGTTCACCAAATCTCTACCAAAGTGCACATTTCAGAAGTTAGTGCAAGGCATCGGATTACGTCGACTTACCAAACAGCTAAATTTGGAAAATGCGGAATCAGGGGGAGAAACATATCAGGGGGAGTATCCATGATACATGCTTGTTGTACTCTTTTTCCTTCGATTAGGATTTTTCCCACTGGGTTTTTCCTATCAAGGTTTTAACGAGGCAACATAAGCATACTTGACACTATATCAACAATTCAGGAAAAGTTGTACTCTTTTTCCTTCGCTATGGTTTTTTTTTCCCACTGGGTTTTTCCAAGCAAGGTTTTAACGAGGCAACTCATGTTGATATGTGGGCATCCAAGGGAGAGTGTTGAAAAGTCTCAAACTTCTGTTGGCAATGAATGCCTACAAAGCTAGTCATCTGCATGGGCAAAGTTTTCAATGCCCATACTGAATGAAAGTGTCAGAGTTACATTTTAATTTTCAAGATGCATTAACTGCATCAGTTCGAATTGCTCTATAAATAGAGCACTCGCATGTAACAGATGATAGATGAAGAAGAAATACAAGAGAGAAATATCAATAACATCATATTTTCCTCTGCCTTTTATTATCTGTCTGTGCTATAGTTTTTGTGTGGCATTTTACATCTACCTTGCACCTACCACTTAAAAGGTTATCTCTCAAACTTTAACCCTTTTATAACACTAATAACTTAAGACGTGTCTTTTGACAATTTATTCTTTATTAGCAATTTTTTATTGGGAAGATAATTTTAGGAGTTAATATTTTTAAATAGCGTTTAAATGAATAGTCAAATGTCAACAAATAAAATAGGTTACAGGAAATTGTAGGTGTAGAAGGATTTTTTTTTTTTTAACAAAGATATTATCTACACTACGGAAAGGAGGTGTGTTAATCTTCACAATAGGCTAGCAACAATGTGGTTTTACTTCGCCCTTAACATGAATCGAACTTCAGACCTCTCACTTACAAATGAAGAGGAAATCTATTCGATCGTAGTACTAAGTTTCAGGTGCATAAGATTTAAATTCCATCAATTTTTATGACTATATTATTAAATGAGTAATGCTAAGTAGACAGTCAATTTAAACTACATTTTAAAGACTATATGGCATAATTATTAGTAATTGAATTATTACTAAATGTTGTTCAACGTATTTAATTTCTATCGGTTATACATTACATATGAGAAAATTGTAGCAATCGTCTCTAAACTTTAACCTAATTAAAGTAATGGTCCTTTAACTAAAAATTCATGACCATTAGTCCCTTAACTCATTAAGACGTGCAACTATGATCATTTTCGATAACTCTATTAGAATTCCGCCAAAATGAGTTATATTGAAAGAACCATTTCTATAATTAGGCTAAAATTGAAGGACCATTGCTTTAATTACATTAAAGTTGAGAGACTATTCCTCCATTTGGGTTAAAGTTGAGCGACCATTGCTACAATTTTTCTCATTTGATTTTCCATATTTGCCCCTCGATTCAACCTCATGTGCATAGATTCATGGAACATGATTCATTTTGACAAAAGTTCTACGAAATTGAAGAAAATGATCATAGTCGCACGTTTTAAGGAGGTAAGGGACTAATGGTTATGAAATTTTAGTTGAGAGATCATTACTCCAATTGAGTTAAAATTGAGAAATATTTGCTATAATTTCCTTCCTTACATATTTATACATTTGATCTAAAAAAAATTAGTCAATATAACATTACTCATTTAAGACAATGGGAAGGCAACAGCAAAGGCTACCTGCAGAATCGGTTCATTACTTCATTCCATTTCTTGGTTGCCTTCCTTGCCGAACACAACACCAACGAACATCAAGGGAATCAACAGGCAGCAAGGCGACGTCGTTTCCAACTTCACAGGATTGGGCGGAGGAGGTATTGTTGTAGATGGAAGCTTCACGGAGTAACTCGGAAATTCCGAACCTGAACCCTAGCCCGAGAAGAAACCCGATTCCGATTCCGTCTGCATCGCTGAGGTGGCCCACCATAGACGGCCCACTGGGTCTGTCAGAGGAAGAGTCAGTGAGCTACGCGCGTAGATTTTACAAGTTCGGCTTCGCTCTGCTCCCTTGGCTTTGGGCCCTCAACTGCTTCTACTTCTGGCCCGTCCTCCGCCACTCCCGCTCCTTCCCTCGCATTCACCACTGTATGCCCCTCTTTCTCTCTCTGCCGATTGATTTTTCTGTTGGACTTTTTCTAATTTGGATTTGTGTTGTGTTTGTTGATTGAGGAAAAACTAAGCAAACAAAGTTTTTATTTTGGAGATCATTTCTGGATTTCTGGGTTTCTGTTCTGTTTTGATAATGTCAGACTGAAATTCCGCGCATTTGGTTTAGGGCTCGTTTGGAACTACACTTACAGTAAAAGTGCTTCTTTTAGAAGCACATTGTAATTTTTAATAAAAATTCAGGTGCTTTTTTGAAATCCGAAGCACTTTTAACTTTTTCTGTCAAATATGGTCAAAAGTGCTTTAGGTGATCTGAAAGCGCGTATAGCTATTTTGAAGGCATTTGTAAATAGGTCCTTAGTTTTTCATGTCGCTACTTTGGACATATAAAGGAATTAGGTGCTGTTCAAGCTTCTTCCATTTTGTTTTCATTTTTTGATACCGGAAATTCCCCAAACTTACTTGGCAAAAAATCCTACAATTTTGGGGAGGCAGGAAACTCCAGAAAATAACTGACCTTGATCAAACACTAGAACATGTGGTGTCGTTGCTCGACTTGACCCTTGTTTTTCCAAAGCTTCTCCCAATTATAAGCGAATATGATGAAATCCAAACTTTCTAAAAACATCTCGTGAGGCAGATTGTGATGTTTATGTATTCTCTATGCCCAAAGGGGTTTTAAGTGGCCTTTTTGTTTCAAAAGAGGGGAAGTTGGTGAATACCGCCTGCATTGGCTAAGCTTTATTAGTTTCTTTAGAGAAAGTGCAAAATGTTGAATGTGAGGAACAAATTTCAGGTTTTTGTGGTTCTGGTTTCTCTCTGATTCTATGAATTATGTTGTCGAACCCCAGACCACTTGGGAGCAAACCAAGGACCTGACAGCTAGACCAACAACTTTTAGGTGAATACTTATTATCAGGGAAGGTTTATGTGTTCAGGGGTTATTATCCAAAGATAATATTTTGATTGAACTAGATAGAACAATAAGTTTTCAATTTTGTAACTTTTTTGGCCAGACCGAAATATGAGAAGTTGAAAAGGGGGAAGGATGTTGTCTCCCACCTAGGAATGTTAGAGATGATTACAACTTGAATTAACAATATGTATAAATTAACCCTATTACATCTTTGTTATTTGATTCTTGACATACTCCCATCTAGCTACACGAAACCGTTCAAATTCAAATTTCCTTTTGCAGTGATTGTTCAAGGGTAACTGAAAAATATTTAAATGGTTGATGTTAAAAGAAAATACCTCTTGATGATTTGACCTCCCCAATTCTCCTATCCTGCCTAGATGGTACTGACATGATGTTTCAAATAGATGTGTTTGGTTGTTGCTACCGGTCAGTTATTTTTAAAGCAAATGTTTCGGGTGTTTTCATATAAGATATAAGTGCTGCATGACTGAATAGATGTGCTGGGTTGTTTGCGGTGTAAAATTTGAGCTTCTTAATACATCATGCCATGAAGTGTATGTGATCGTTTGACATTCTGGAACTTATATGTATAATAATTATAGAGCTTCTGTTTTTGGCTGTTGTTTTTTGATAAAACTCTCTTATTTCAGATGTTTTAAGATCAGCAGTTGGATTCACGGTATTTACTGCTCTTCTCTTGTCATGGGCACTTACATTTGCTATTGGAGGGGAGCACCTTTTCGGCCATGTTTGGGATCAACTCGTTATGTACAATCTCGCTGACAGACTTGGCTTGACGGGTTGGAGCTAAGTCTATGCCTTCTCTTTCGAACTTCACCATTACGAAACACTTCCTCTGTGTCTACTCTTTTTTCTTCGTCAAACATTTGCATTAGGTTAACAGAGGACAGGCTGTTTGATTGTTAAAACAATAAGTGACGTTATATATTGGAAGCACTTGTTAAATGTTAGATAACTTTGTAACAAGTTTAGAGTTCGATCTCAGAACTATCGTTTTTCCGCTTCCGGCTACTCAAAAGTTGAATACACATTTCAAATCAAACGTCAGGTAAATCAATGTCGAACAAGCGAAATATGGTATCCATGGAAGAGAATGCATAATTATAAACCAATGGCCACGATGCATCTTACGTGCGATTCTACTTCAAACGTGAACAAAAAACCCAAATCAATCGAACAAAGCTGAAAAATATGTATTAGATAGTCCCTTTACTCGGATAAGCTGATATCCATTTTAGGCTGTTTGTGAATCGCTTCATTTTTGTTCTCAGAAGCTCCTGTCTCCAACCTCCGTGGTCCGAAAGTTTCAGGCCACGATAAAGAACCAATGGCGCAGAAGGGTTGGACCACGATAAAGAACCAATGGCAAAAACCCTTCTGCGGCGTTTACCTTCCACTACCCTCATAATTTTTTACATTATACTAGTTCATATGGTTGGACACCATTGTAACTTAGATCTGATATTCAAATACACAAGTATTCTGACAATAAACGTAAGACATGATCCGTTAGATGGGACACAGCCTTGTTCCAGCAGCCGGAAATGCATGGTCGTCTTCGGAGTCTCACCGCCCACATCTTCCTAATTCGATGCAAAAGAATAAAATTCTACCGATGTCGCCCACTTCCAGGAGTTGACCACTGTGGCAGCACTCTTCCGCCACCGTTCTGATTGGTTTTCATATCCGGAACATTAGCTTCAAAGTCATAACCAGATAAGTCTAATTCATCATCTATGAATTCACTGTAATCTGGCTCCACATAACGGAAGGTCTCAATAGTATTGCTCTGCGTCTTTAGAGCCCTCTTCTTCGATCTATCTGTGCTTCTGAAGTCGTCATCTTCAAAAATTTGCTTCCGATCCTTGTTACCATCTCTTTTCCTCTTTATATCGTTGCTGTCATTGCTACCGCTGCTGTTTTTATCTGTTTTGAAGTATTCCTTTATGGCAGCTTCAATTGTTTCAAGTATTCGATCTCCGTACCTGGCCACCTTAATTCTGCATTAAGCCAAACAAGTTCAGTATATTGTTTCTTAGGTAGCATCATATAATCATATAACTTGAAACTTACTGGGTAATGCCATTTATCTCGAGGAGTTCATCCTTCGTTCTAGGCATTTTGCTGCTTATGTTTTTAATCGTTGTATTCCTGACTCGAAATGGCAAAAAATCAGGAAACATCTTTAAAGATCGAAGGGACAAATGAAGACATGTATAGTGACACCCCGGGATAAAAATTCCTAACTCCGAAAGAGTAGCAACTTTCCAAAATTACTTTTCCTTCTTTCCTCTGAAAACAAACAGGTATGAAACAGATTTATTCTATTGGGATGAGGAAAAAGAGTAAGAATCTTACGGAAATATGTGGTGTGCCATGACACCATCACCAGCTTCTCTAATGATATTAGTTCGAAGCATTTTCAAAGCAGAAAATATTTTCGTGTACAGAACCTGTAATGAAATTTCAGATAAACAAATCAATTGACGAAGGTCGACTTAGCCCTCATGGTAGTCAGATACTTCAGCAAGCAGAATAGTGTCTTGCCGACATATAAATCTGAAATATGTATCTGTGTACACATGTAATATGTGCGCATCTGTTCCTGTTGACTGCTTAGGTTTCAGGCATAAAGGTCAAGGTTTTGAGTTCGGCCTAGGCAGGAGACAAACTTGACCAAGAAGAAGAATATATAAGACCAGACGAATGCTTCAGATCCTATATAATGCATCTAAGTCTATAAACGCTTCAGATCCTATATAATGCATCTAAACCTATGAACATACCAAATCTCCTTTTGATTGAGGTTGTTCAGTGCCAGTAATTGGAGGGCTCTGCATCCCAGATGTCAGTGAGCCTTTAGCTGAAATCGCTTCGGGGTTTTTCTGTTTGGAAGCTTTTAATGTGGAAGGGAATCTACAATATATTTAAGATGTCAGTCACAATATTGTTGCGAGCAGGTTTATAGGGCAGAAAAGGAACAAAAACTTACAGACTTCAATTGACATTCACAAGACTAAAAGCATTTAAGTGAAAGAAGCATATCATAGCACAATATAAGAACAAGATTAGATAAAAAGAACATATTATTACGATGGTTGGAGTACAAACATGATCATCTCACTTAGCAATCAATGATGAATATAAACCGTGTAAGATATCATGCAAGTTTGTGAAAGCTTTTCTAGTAACAAAAGACGAATGCTAGACTGATAACTAGCGGCTCAGAAACCACAAAGAGGAAACATGCAAAAGCTTTAGTTGACTAATGCTAACTAAATATGACGCAAATAAGAGAAATTTAGTTTTATGGGTTTCGTGGAGGGATTTCAGCAAGCAGATCCTATGGACGATGTTATTCATGGTTGTTAATGGACAATTATTCTAAGCAGGTAGGCATGTTCACCGCAGTTGAAGGATTTTTGGTGAACCTGACTAGAACCTAGAAACCAAATATCCCATCAGCTGTAAAGTGTATTCGTATTCAAAATTTTGAAAACGTATGGTATATAACAAAACTTGAATGTGTTCCAAACAGATTCTAAATTTTTGATACGCAGTTTAGGGGAGACCAATGAAGATGAATGGGAGTGGGGGTCCTTTGAACAAGGTGGATCTACCACAAGTCCATCCCCAGCTGACAGTAATAGTATTGGACACGCTGCACATGCATGGTAGATGGAGATAAAAACAAGTTCTTAAGCATCTAATGCAAAGATCTTTGACATCTTAGTACAATACTCGTAGGGAACTAGCAAAAATAATAGTGAGAATAAAGCCAAAATGTGGTATGACTGGAAAGCCAAACCTTATTAAAACTGTCTTCCTGCCAGAGAAAAGTTCGCGCGCTTTCTGTTCATTAACCTGAAAGAAAAAAAATGACACATGTAATTACTGTACAAAAACTAACAAGCAGCGATGACAGTAAGTGGTATTTTCTTGCCTAGTTTGCTCTTTTCAAGGATGGTGATCTTCATGAAAAACCCAGCATAAGTGAACTGAAAGAATTAAAAGTACCTTTAGTATTGACGATACAGATCCATAAACATCACTTTTCTTGACTTCCTCAACAAGAAGGTCCTCGGTAACAAGATGACGTAATACACGAGAAGCTTCACCCTTGGCTAGATGTTTTCCTGCTCCATGCAGTCTCACAGTCTGATGCCTGTGTTTCTTGACCTAACAATACAAACATAACATTATAATCGATGAATGAAAATAAGATAGAAAGGACAGTACATTTCTTAAAATTAAAGCATACAAATTGGTTTAAGGAGCCCCTGTAGACTTCTAGAATATGAGATGACGAAAACTGCTGCCCTGTTAACTTCAACAGTTCAACCTGAGCACATGTGGCAGAAGTGAATACACAGACAATGCAAGGATTTGCAAACTGTTGCAAGGAATTGACATTCATCAATAGAAACATTGGCCAACATCTCCTAAAAATTATTATCGTTACAAACCAGTTGCTTTGCGATTTCAGTGACATCCTTCTCACTGAAACTTTTAATCTTCAAACAATTATCACACGTCTTTTTGCAGGTTGCACAATCAAAGTTTTCTCCAAAATGAATAAGTTGTAGAAGTCGTCGGCAATCAACACCATTTTCACAATAACTAACCTGCAAATTTTTAGATCATTTTATTTAGTACATGTCTGACGAAACAAGAGGTATGCAATAGTAAAACCTCAAAAACTACACATGAAGCCAAAATCAAGTACCATGCGCAAAAGATTTTCGGTATTCGTTTCCAGTACTCTCCCAGAATTAGCAGTATTGATACGATTGTATCCAGATGTCAGTGGGCTTTGCTCTATAACTCCTTGACTAATCATATGCTTTACTCGAATCTGCAAAAGAATTATAGAGATATATGTAAGCAGAGAAAATTTAAAAATATTATTCCCCTACTTTTTTAAGATGATCAAATTAAACAACCAAAATGCAAACTTGTATTTCCTTTTTCTATTTGCATTTATTTATTGAAATATTGAGTTAAGCACCCAAACAGGTGTTGAACTGGTGAGAGGACATGCCACTTGACCTACAGGCCGTTCGCATTCCAATGCTTACTCATTGTCCAAATACAGAACTGACAAGAATCAAGTAGATACAAGTTTTACTACTCCAACTTACATAGTCACTGTAACTGTAATACAACACACAAGATGAATGCTGACCATCTCTACCAGCTCGACCACACTCCTGAAACATAGTGACGTAGTAAGCTAAAAGAATCCTTAATCTAAGCTTCCCATGCATAAACCATTACTAAGAAATAAGCAGAAGAATAGCTAAATTCCAAAAGTCCAACACTCTGATACCTGATGGTAGCCTTCAATAGACTTCGGGAGAGAGTGATGGATTACAAAGCGGACATCTGGCTTGTTGATACCTGAATTCCAATTCCAATATTGGTAATGGTGTCCCTTATTAATGAAGGCAGAAATCAGCAAAAACTAAAGTACCCATTCCAAATGCCACTGTAGCACATATAACGTTGATTTCATCTTTACTCCACTGCTTCTGGACAAAGGCACGCTGAGCAGGATCCATATTACCATGGTAAAATGCTGCTTTATGGCCACATTCCTGAACAACAGATGCACTCTCAAGCAAAACTAACCAGAAAGAAAGTAAACAAATTTCATCATATCAAAAGTCATAGATTACACAATTAGCAAACAGTAGATACATGTTCAAGAAGCTTCAAGCAATAAATGATTAAGCAACAATACAAGACTTTCCATGTATAATATACAGAAAAGAAGTTAATAAACCCACATAATGAATCAGTGCACATGGAACCATTTTTTATCTTTCTCAAGAAAACATAAAAAGAGCATAAGACTCCATTGAACTACAAAGGGACCAAGATAAGGTCAAACCTGTAATCTTTCAGCAACTTTTTCACAGTCCATTCTTGAGAGACAATAAATTATTCC